ACACGAAATCCATTGTTATATTTTCCCATTTCCACTGGGGAACGGGAAGTGGTTGCATTCGCCCAAAGGGCTTCTTCCTTTCTGCTTTCACTTGTTGGCAAATAATACACCTACTCACATATTCTGCAATTTCTCTTTTCATACCCGGCCAATAATAAAATGGTCGAATGGTATGATACATTTTTGTTCCTCCCGGATGCATTGCATAAGCTGAACAATGTGCTTCGTCCAGAATTTCCTTCTTCAATTCCTCATTATTCGGAACATACATTCTGTCTTCTTGCATGAGCATACCATCTGATTCCCGAATTCTGAGGTCTTTCTTTTTCCCTTCACTTCTTAACTGAACCAACTCCTGAACTTCCTCATTCACCATCTGAGCTGCAAGTATACGGTCCACCAAAACTGGCCTGACTTGAAAACTAGCAAGAAAAGCTCCATCTCGGTCTTCAATTTCCAACCTTACCCCCGTTGTCCTCAATTCAGCAAGAAGAGGAACACGACTAGCATATAAGGCATTAAGCCTACCTTGAGGTTTCCTACTCAGTGCATCCGCTACTACATTAGCACGACCTGGATGGTATTCAATAGAACAATCATAATCACTTAGCAATTCCATCCACCTTCGCTGACGAAGATTAAGATCATGCTGGGTGAATAAGTACTGAAGACTCTTATGATCAGTGAAGATCTTACACTTCTCACCATACAAATAATGTCTCCAAATTTTCAAAGCAAAAACAATTGCTGCCAATTCAAGATCGTGAGTAGGATAATTCCTTTCATGATTTTTCAACTGCCTAGAAGCATAGGCAATCACCTTATTATGCTGCATCAAAACACATCCCAAACCATTTAATGAAGCATCACTATATATCTCAAAATTACCGCTATCGTCAGGAAGTACCAACACCGGTGCATGAGTGAGGCAATACTTTAATTGCTGAAAACTCCGCTCACAATTCTCATCCCACTCAAATTTAACATCCTTCCTGGTCAACTTTGTCAACGGTAAAGCAATCATAGAGAAATCCTGAACGAACCGTCGATAATAACCTGCTAAGCCAAGAAAACTTCGTACCTCCGTGACGGTTCGAGGTTGCTCCCAATTCTCCACTGCTGCAATCTTTTGAGGATCAACTTGAATACCTTGAGCTGATACAACATGCCCCAAAAATGCCACTTCAGTCAACCAAAACTGACATTTACTGAACTTGGCATACAACTGATGCTCCCTTAATTTCCTTAACACCAAATTAAGGTGTCGGATATGATCTGCTTGGGACTTAGAGTATACCAGAATATCGTCAATAAAAACAATAACGAATTTATCAAGATATTTCTGGAATACCTCATTCATTAATCTCATAAAAGCTGCAGGTGCATTAGTCAACCCAAATGGCATAACCAAAAATTCATAATGCCCGTACCGAGTCCGGAAAGCCGTCTTAGGTACATCATCTTCCTTAATCTTCAATTGATAATACCCAGATCTCAAATCAATCTTAGAAAATACACACGCACCTTTCAGCTGATCAAACAAATCATCAATGCGAGGCAATGGATAACGGTTTTTAATCGTTACCCGGTTCAATTGTCTATAATCAATACACAATCGAAGAGTTCCATCCTTCTTCTTCACAAATAATACTGGGGCACCCCAAGGTGAAGAACTAGGTTGAATAAAACCTTTATCAAGTAATTCTTGCAACTGGATTTTTAATTCTCTCAACTCAGCAGGAGCCATTCTATAAGGAGTCAGAGATATAGGGTCCGTACCTGGAAGCAAATCAATAGAGAATTCCACCTCTCTGTCTGGCGGCAATCCCGGCAAATCATCAGGGAAAAACATCCGGATAATGTCTGACCACACCAACTTCTTTCTATACTAGTAGGAGCAACATCATTTAATACCACATGTGCCAAATATCCCTGACAACCCTTCGATAATAATTTCCCTCGCCCTCATGGCAGAAATAACTCCATGTCTCACCCCACTTCTCTCGCCCACAAAAGTAACCTCGGGTAATCCAGGACGATAAAAAGTAACTGATTTACCATAACAATCAATATGGGCACGATTATGGAACCAATCGGCCCCTAAAATTACATCAAAATCCACAATATCTAACGGAATAAGATCAGCGGATATAATCACGCCCTCAACCATCACTGGACACCCCAGATACACACTATCCACATAACATTTATCTCCTCTAGGCATGGCAAACTCTAAATCAAATCCTAGAGGTGAAGGGTGAGGTTGGGTTATTTGAGCAAACGTATGAGAAATCACAGAGTGCGTAGCACCACAATCAATCAAAACCTTAGCAAAATGACCAAGAACATTTAACGTACCCATTATCAAGTCTGGATGGTTCTGAGCCTCCTGCAGGGACATATGATTAACTCGCCCCTGAGCTTGCTGACGTCCACCTCGGCCTCTATTGCCCTGATTACCTCGTCCCTGAGGATTACGTCCCTGGCCTGGCTGACTAGGCTGCCTGGATGATCCTGCACCACCAGTAGCAATTTCCCCCTGACGGGGCTGACCTCCTTGATGCCACTGCGATCCACCAGTTGGCATAGAGGAATAAGAAGAATAACCTCCAAAATCCTGAGAATACCCTGCCTGAGGATATGGCTCCTGAGAATACTGATAAGGTCCGGAAGCATACGGAGCAGCATCCCCCTGATAGTGGTAGGCACCACCACGACTCGACTGGCCATAACCACCCGGTCTAAAACTCTGCTGAACTGGTGCTGGAGGTGGCATATTAGTCTGCTGCGGTCTCTGCTGACCCTGGGGGCACTGAGAAGCCCGATGTCCCATCTGCCCACACGTAAAACAAGCACCAGAACCTCTCCTACACTCACCATGGTGACGGGAGTTACAGCGGCGGCACCATGGAGCGCCAGATCCACCAGCGTCCCTCTGACCCTGAAATCTGGGTCCACCAGAAAATCTTCCACCACCTCTCCTCGGGCCAGTAAAAACTATATCCCCCACTAGAAGAAAACTCGAACTCGCTCCACTCTTCTTCTTAAAACTCTGTGTCTGTCGAGGTCCAGGAATAGAAATACCCTTACCCTTATCATTCTTCTTCTGACCCTCATTCTTGTCCTCGTCATCCTCACTGTCAGGAAGATTATCAGAGTCCTCCATCCTAACCAAAATCTCGAAATACTCATGATAATCAGCGCAGGGAAGTGCATTGGCAAAGGTACGCCACTTCTTCTTAGATCCCAACTTGAAACGTCGAAGCATCTCTCCCTGATTACCAGCTGTATCAGTGTCATAACGAGACAAATCAGTAAACTTTCTATAATATTCATGTGCCGACATATTTCTCTGTTTCAACCTGGTGAATTCCTGCTTCTTACGGTCAATATACTCAGGAGGAACGAATCTCTTCATAAAATGCTTTTTGAATACTTTCCAGTCGGCTGCCGTCTCAGGTGACATATACCTAGTCTGATTTATCCACCATGCTGCTGGTTCACGACCCAGAAACCAAGTGGTGGTCTCCACCCACCTATTAGCAGGGAGATTCCCCTGACTCTGCATCACCTGGAAGGTTTTCTCAATATGATCTAGCCATTTCTCTGCCCCCTCATGACTTTCATTACCCATAAACCGATCTAACTTCAAGTTGTACATGGTCTCCAGAGGTGTCCTCGGAGGAGGGGGAGGACGAATCACATTCTGTAAAGCCTGGGCCATCGCTTCCCCTAACTGAGTAATATCCGGGAAATTAGGTTCAGAAGTACGGCGGGACTCCCTACGCTCTCTACGAGGCGGCATGATTCTGACAGAAAACATCAAAAGATCGTTAAGACATTAACAATTTACAGGACTGCAACCTAAGCTCTGATACCAAACTGACACACCCTGATCCGGAGGATCCAGGTGTGCTGGCCGTCACGTGGGCGTGACGTAACCATAAGCACGACACGGAAGCGTAACAACAACATAAATCAACAGAAATTCAAACCAAACTCAACATAACCACCTACGGACATAACCGGACGAGTTACAAGTAAACACATAAGTTCAGAGCATAGGTTAACTGCAGTCAAGTAGGACTAAAATAAGAATACATCACCCTCAGGTGAGTCCTACATGTCCCAAATCTGTCAGAAAGCCGGAAAGGACCTCGTGAGCCAACCACCGCTAAACTAGAACCTGGAGGGGCGCAAAACAAAATGAGTGGGTCAGTAAAACAAATTAGTTTTGCAAAACATTTCATTAAAACAGTTATATCCCCTCGCCGTAAAAACCTGTATAAACCTGTATACTTTCCCAGAAATATATAACCATATAAAATCTCAACATTTAAATCTCAAATCTTTAACATTTTCAAGAAAACATGCCATGCCATAAATCAAAATATAAATCAGGTGAAATAAGGAATCAATCGGAGACCCTGCAGTTGGTCCTATACGATTAATTCAATAGCTCAAATCCCACTAAGCCGGAGTCACCACAGTGACCTATACGGCCCTACTCTGCACATCACTCGGAACTACGTAAGGTAGTCTATACGATGAAAGGTGTAAAAATACGCTCTAGTGCTTCTCTCATCATATCATCAGCGCGCATATCTAAGGTCACCCACCAGTCGGAACCCCTCTAATGGTCTGTACGACTGGCATGTCGGAACCCTCACATGGTCTGTACGACATCCACCTACTTGGATCCAAGGCGAGCGTGCGGTGTGGTGAATAAAATAAGCACTAACACCTAGGGTGCAGGTTATGAGCTCAAAACATCTCAACAACAATTCAATGAATAAATGAACTCACCTGACTTACCTGTGCCTCCACAGCACCATGCAACATGTATGCATCATATATCAATCATATAACTCGTATGAAATTCACATTTTCCAAATAATTCTATGCATGGCATTTTCAAAACATAATTTCTCATAAAAGCATTTTTCTGGGAAAAACAATAGTATATAGGTAATACGAAAACAAAACTGCCCACTCACTGATAAGTCGACGGGTCGTAACCCCCGTGGCGTCCCTGGATGCGGTCGTCCTCGGGATACGTCTCACCTATATGCGAAACAACTATAAAAACATTAATTTTAAGCATATCACCAATAATTCGAAATAACTTCTCATACGATGCTCAATTTTGGTATATGAATATACCACATCGACCTACTCGACGTCACGAGCGTCGGGAAATTTTTAGAAAAATTTTTGGAAGCCCCACGCGCCCCCACGCGCCACACGTGGCACGGGTCCACGCGCTGGCCACGCGCAGCACGTGCAGCGCACGTGTCATCTTCCTCGCAGGGTCTCGCCGGACTGGTTCTCCGGTGGCCGGACTCCGGCCGAACTCCGGCCGATTTTCAAACTCACTGTTCTCCTTCGTTTTTCACCCATTTTCTTCGTATTTTATACCAAATTGAAGCCCTAAGAGTGTACTATCACGTTGGACTAGTTTTAGGGCCTAAAAACTACGAAATCTCACCTTGCAAAAACCAAGGGTTCGGCCAAACTTGAAACCTACGATCCCGGCGTCCAAAATTCTCCAACGAACGTCCCCGAGCTTCCTTAGGACCTCCTAAAGCTCACCACAAGCTTGAAATCTCCTGAAACACAACATTTTACGTTCGCATGAACCGTACCTCAAAAATGGAGGTTTGGGATCTACGTGAAATCGAAGGTTTCACTTCCTAAAACTAGTACCAATGAACTCAGGACGTCAAAACGATGAAGATACATACCTTATTTGCCCCGATCCGTCAAGTTTTGAAGGGTTTTGGTGGTGGTCCGTACGATATGGGTGTGTGAGGGTGTGAGTTTGTGAGGGAGAGACAGAGACAGGGAAAGCACGGGGGAAGAGAGGGAGAGAGGAAGATCAGGTGTGGTCCAAAATAATCCACACCCTCCATTTCATCCTAACCAAACATACCACAAATCAATTCCAATAAAATCCCATCCAACCAATGCTATTTTCAAAATAACGTTACGTACCTACGTACCTTAATGTCCAATAAGGGCAATTCTGTCATTTCACATTCCCGTCAAAAGTACCTCCGGGACGGGCTGTGACAATTGACATCAAATGTGGTTGGTGACAAATTTGACAGTAACTTCAAATATGTTTTTAGTGATTAGTAAATGTTTTTTACCATTATTATTATTATTATTATTATTTGTTCTAATAATACTTATTACAATTATAAAAAAATAAATAATAGTTTAAATTTAGAATATCGGATGGAGAACAAAATTAAAAAAATATAAAAAAAAAAAAGATCAAAGTGCCACATAGGTCTTCAAATTTAAATTAATATTTAAAATTTGACATCTTCTTTAGAAATGATCTAAACCTATTATTTATAAATTTCTAGCTCAATAGTCAATAGTCAATAGTATGTGACAATTGACTCAAAAAAAATGTGACAATTATTCACGTTGTTGATGTGAAACTATTCTTTCAATCTCAAAAAAAAAAAAAAAAAAGTGAAACTATTCTATCTGTTAATTCACACAACACTAATCAAGTTTATAGCTAAATACCATGTCAAAATCCATCTTAATTGTATTGAAGGGATGGGGACAGATTCGATTAATTACAATAATCACATCCATCATTGATTAAGAAAATGCAACTAGTAATAATCGCTAATCATGTTGCCAATATTTTTTTTTGTTGGAAAAAACAAAATAATTTAGTAAAATATGAAATTGCAAGTCAACGATGGCAATGTGGGTGTTTCATGTTGGAATAAGGGCATTTCCGAGACAAGAAAAAACTGCGGATTGGGAACGCTGGACTAGACAGGGTCAGCCTGTCGTAATGACTGTGAGTTATGAGATATGACTTGGAGTTGGGACATCCGAATATGCGTCCACGTGTTGCACATGCGCATATCAATATTTCTCCACAAACCCACTAGACAAGACCATATATGGGTCTGACGGCCCACTAAGCCCATAAGAGCATTTCCATCTTTAAAAAGCTCCCTGGCAATAGGTAATATAATCCTCAGGTAAACAGTAACTACTTTTACTAAATAGTAATTATTTAAGTGCATTGCCACCCTGAACTGAATAGTGCAAGGATTTGTTAAAAGTATTTGAAAATGGTAAAATGTGGTGTAAGGTGGAAGAACACGGTTAGATATTTATAGAAAAATTATAATTTTTTATATTTATATTTTATATTTGTATTTTATTTAATTTAATTTTTTTTATAATTTTTAATAGTGGCTGACGTCACCGTAATGTCAACCTTGCATCACTACCCTTGGGGGTTGGGCCATTCGATTACTCACTGGGTGAGCAATTGGGCTCCCCCATAGCCCAGTTGATTGAAACGGGTTGGAGTTGTTTTTTTTTGGTTTGGGAGGGGGGGATTAAGGTGCAGTTTGGGATTGAGGTGATTAAAAAAAAAACTGGTATGAAAAAAAGCTGGGAACTTTTTTGTGTTTGGTAAACATTCAGCTTTAGTTTTTTTTCACAATTTTGGGTGAAAGAAAAGCCAAAAACAAGAAGCTGCAAAACCCAGCTTTGAAAAACCAGTTTTTTTTCACATTAGTTTTACATAAAAGTTTACCAAACATTATAATGCTGTTTTTTTTTTCAAAAGCATTTTTACAAAAAAGTTTACTAAACACTCTACAACTTTATTTCACAGCCACTTATTTTCACAGCACAGCAGAAGCAGCTTTTTTTCAAAGCATAGCAATACCAAACCAGCCCTAAATCAACTATCCCTTAAGAGATTGGAAAGGGGTGGAAGTGCTCTAAACCATTAGACCTCATTTCAGCCCAATGGAGTGGAAAATAATTGTAAAACTGTAATAATTAAATATCTATTGCAGTCCTAGTTAGGTTAGGAATGTAGTTGTGTAAATCTTATTAGAATTCTACAGTATCTTTTAGATAGTGTCCTAATTTAGTTGTAATACCTAAAGGGTAAGAAACTTACCTTCTTACTAATATAAATAAAGACACAATAGAGTAAGACAACACACATCTCTAATTACACCAAACTCTCTCTATCTCCTTACCATTGCACCTTTCTCCCTCCCTATAATTCTTCAGTTAAATAGGTCTACAAAAGTATTGAACTTGTCATCAATGTAGTTGAACTTGAGGTTTCTCACTATAAGTGTAAATAAATATAACCGACCAAAATGCTCCCAATAATAAATCCGCACCATCCCCATCCCGCTTCGTTTGTCCCTAAAACCCAAACCATCTCTCTTGATCCTCATCGAGAGGCGAGAGAAAAATGATGAAATTGCTCCTTGTTACCCTCGTCTTCATCACCTTGGTGGATGCCTTGGTGAGTACACATTTCATGCATTCATTTTGTGTATAGCCTCTATCAATAATTGATATGTGCCCATAAACTTAATCCCCTTAAATAAATAAATAAGTTTGTAGACATGCGAATAAATTTATGGGCATGCCTCAATTAATAATAAAGATCACATAGAGGCCGCACATAAAATGGATAGCCTGAAAAATTCATTCATGTGCCTAACGCATGACAATTTTGATGGGCATTGGGATTGAATGCTTAATTTTGACCTATTTTAAAAATTTTGGAACTCAAATTGGTTGAAAATTGAAAGGTTATGACCTAATTTGACTCAAATAGGTTGTGTTTATTTAAAACACTTGCCACGCAATGTATATTTTTATGTGCTATAATATGTATGAGCAACATAGTTGTTATATTGTGCTTGTATTAAAAAAAGAAAAAGAAAAGAAAAAAGGAGGATCATCTAGTGATTTCGTCACTGTAGTTCATCATTCTAGAAGTCAGAAAGACTCATAAATGCATTTTAGCTTCTCTCTAGCCACCATTAAAAAAAAATGTACACTTATTATAAATTGAGTTGAATTATAATATGACGAGGCGTTGTTTTTTTTTTTTTTTTTGAGTACATTGATATACTTTTTTTACACTAAGAGGAGAAGAGTTCGGCTAAGCCACATAATGGGCAACCTAATTTGGCATCGAATTCGCCATCTACGAGATTTGAATTTAAGACTTCTCACTTTTAAGTAAAAAAAAAAATCATTAGACCGTAGAACTGATATGACGCTGTTTTTTTAGTATACGGAAAAATTGATCTAATTTGACACATGTCTATAAATACGGAGGTGGATTGTCTGCCCTCCCATTTATATACTCTCCCCATCCCCTCATGTTTTGTGTGGTCACGGTTAAACTACGTCAAAATTTTATATTATTTTTTTATAAAAATAATCAAACAAAAAGTAATAAGAATATAAAATATTGACGTGACTTAACCGTGACCATACAAGAATGGGGGATGATAAGAGCACCTCCAGCAGGGGAGGTTGCTTGGGGGCCAGTGGATCAAACAGTAGCAAATTGTTGGGGGGATGACCTCCAGCGTAGGGAAGCCCGAGCGACAGGCGAGGCCCGAGGAGCAGGCCCGTCGAGGATTGCCAGCCCAAGAGCCCAAGGGCTGCGTCAGGCACGTGTGTTTCACGCACGCGTGGGCGCGAGTCGTTCGACAAAAAAACAAGGTTGGGGCTCGCAAATTCAGTTTTGAAAAGTTACCGTTGGGGAAGCCACGTGGCTTCCCCATGTCCGTTCGATTGAAACGGTCCTATTTTATGGATCGTTGGATTTCCAACTGTAAAAAACATTTAAAAATCTCATTTAATTTCATCAGTTTGATCTAAGATCAACGGTCCACGTTATTAGGCTTTGTAAATTGAAAAAAAAAAGAAAAAACAGTTTAAAAATCTAAAATGTTACCGTTGTGACACGTGGCACAATCTGGAGTGTTGGAATTAAAAAATTTTTAAATCCAACGACATAGATTAATTAGGTGAATAAAAATTAAAAAAATATGTAAACAAATTCTTAAAAATCCGAAAACAAAATTATGAAAAATTATAAAAAATTTTGATTTTACTTTTCTATAAATACCTTCTCATTATCTTCTACCCTACACCACAATTTCATATTTTCTCAACTACTTTCAACCACATTCCTATCTTTCTCTCAAAGTTTCAATCCAATTTTTTTCCAACAAAATGACTACTCAACCAGGTACAAATTGGACGCTTCTTGAAGATGTTGCGTTGTGTACTAGTTGGGTTCAAGTTACTCATGATTCGATTACGGGTAATGAGATGTAGTTGCGAGAAATATGGAGTCTTATTCATACCAATTATCTTGAGAAAATGGGTGGGCAAAGAACTAAAGAATTGATGTCCAGTTGTTGGAAATTACTTAGTCAATCGTTTAGTACGTGGAGAGACGCCTTGGCACAAGCTAGTGGTAATCTTCGAAGTGGGGAAAATTTAGCGGATCAGGTAACAATATATTATTTATTTGTTTGTATTATTTGTTAGCTACTTTCATTATATTTATTTGTTTGTATTATTTATTTGTTACCTACTTTCATTATAATTATTTGTTAGCTACTTTCATTATAATTATTTGTTTGTATTATTTATTTGTTACCTACTTTCATTATAATTATTTGGTTGTATTATTTATTTGTTACCTACTTTCATTATAATTATTTGTTAGCTACTTTCATTATATTTATTTGTTTGTTTTATTTGTTACCTACTTTTATTATAATTATTTGTTTGTATTATTTATTTGTTACATACTTTCATTATAATTATTTGTTTGTATTATTTATTTGTTACCTATTCTCATTATAATTATTTATTCTCCCGCATTGTATAGCAACTTCAAGCACAAGCTTGGTATGGTGCCAAAACCAAAAGCAAAAACAAAACATTCACCCGGTTTGAATGTTGGAATATTGTCAAAGATTGTCCTAAATTTAGAGTTGTGC